CCTTTTAGAGGTCATAGTTATTAAATATGGGGACAAACTGGGTAGGGTTGTGTATAGGAGACACACATATGCAGGTTTTTTTTTAATTTTGAGTTATGATATCAATGATAGTAACGAATTTGTGTCTAGCAGGCGTAGATCATCAGGACCATAGTTGGAATGGGCAAAAAAGCACCTTAGATAGCCACCTATCCAATTATACATTTGAACTGACTTGGGTTATTAAATATTAAAACAGTATTTAGGACAATATGGGGAATTAGGCTACTCTTCATCGAGGTTCCTACTGCTGCCGTTATGCTAATTTCCGAAAAGAATAGGCGAATTACTGAGGAAATGGAACTTCATGACTATGTACAAAGAAATACTGACACTTTGTTCGGCCATGCCTTTCTGTTGAGTAGCCTCCGACCCTCTCTGCAGCTCAAGTTGTTATAAGATATCATGCTCATGTGATAGTGTCTATGTGGAGGAGACTTGTCGACCAAGGCAGAAGAGGTAGTCAGAGTAGAAAACCACCTTCAAATGCGCATGGGTTCATATATTGGATGTAGCGGAACAAAGGTCCATTACAGGACATCAAATAGGGTGGTGTAAAACACAAACTTTTGGCTGATTTAGGGAGTTCACGACTGAACTGAAGCGTAACTAACCTATAGGAGATGTGTTCGCCCTATTTCGCTTAAGGTGATGATGGACTGGTGATTGAATTTTCTCACAATCGGGTCGGTAGACCTTATCTTTCCGCTAAAGGTTACACAGCCTTGCTTCCAAAAAGGTATTCTCATTCTGGCTGGTTTTGACTGCAGTTTCGACCTCGCTCCGATCTTATCGACACCTCCAGTGGAACTCGACACGTTAACCACTATGCCACATTTCCCCGAGTATCCTTGAGCAAGAAAGCAGATGTGAATACCAAAAAAGACCAGGCATTTTCTCGTATCACATTTTCCGGTGAGATTGTCCCTGAAGCAAGGTTGCATTTGCTAAAGCAATGGACTATGTCCCATTTGTTTCGTTTATAAGTAGGTTTTCGAGACTTTTCGTAAATCATATATGCGAGATGTGTTCACCCTAGTTCGTCGAAGATGAAGGTGTGACACAAGAACACTCGAAGCATAGTATGTGCTGAAGTATCGTGGTTCGAGTCCCGCAGATCAGGCGATGTCGACACTGTGGTTCACTCCAACCTGGATAAGAATACCTTTTAGTGGAATGGTAAGGTCTACCTACATGATTGAAAGAAAATCCAACTACAAGTCCTCGTATCATGTATCTGATTTACTGGTAGTCTTGACATTCAACTTAAAAACGAAAAAACTAACATATCGAATAGGAGGAACGAGTGCAGAAAAGTAAGCAAGAACCATCTCTGGCTTCTGGATAGAATTAGAGAGAGCAAAAGAGACAGAAATAGAGGAAAAAGGAGGAGCTGCCGAGTAAGAGAAGATTTGACTAACCTCGAGTCTGGTTTGATGCTCGAACGTGCCAACTGACTCATGAGTTTTGCACACACACACAATGCGTACGCATGCACGAGACCAAAACAACCCTCAGTATTGTAGGATCATACACCGGTTTCTTGACCTAAGCAAAAGCTGTGCTGACATCCACACAAAGTGGCCAACCGAATCATGCAATGTCTCAGCAACATCGTAAAGTTGGCTATACAAAGCAAGTGGAATTTCAATCGGTCACCTTTCTTGGTTTACTGCCTCTTTGGTTGAGATTTGTGCATAATGCTTTCTCACTCGGAAGATGTCCATCACGCGGCAGACGAAAGTTTACCACGAGGGTTTCTACGCCCAATTTAACAGCTACCGGTCCAAAGCAGTCGACCATTCTTCGGTGTCCGATGGTGCCCATTTATTGAGCCCTTGCACAGGCCCTTTCAAATTGAATGAAAGGTATGCAGGCCTAAATCGTAATCCTCTGCCCGTCTACAGACTTCAAGCTCAAGAGATGTGAAGAAATTGCATTTTTTCATCGCCATTCCTTGCCTCAACTTCTCCGACATCTTAAACCAGTTTCTGGACATCTCAGGCGACTGCAAAATTCTGATGGGTCCATTTTGCCAAGCCTGCTTTGTCACAGCCTTTGACCATGACTAAGACCAGTATCGATCGGAGGCCACGCCAAGTGTCTGGCCTAATATTGAGCCTCAACATCAAGTCCAATTTAAACTGCCTACACAAGCAAACGCGCAACTTCTACAAGTACACACGCGTACAACTACACACTCAACGTGCACGCATCGCACACATAAGCACATACAACACGCACACGTGCGTACGTGCATACATGCACATGTGTACACAAATATACAGAGCGCACATACACGCACAAATGCTCAAACTGCATGTTTAAATATGCATCACACACACACACACACGCGCAAATGCGCATACGCATTGTGATGTCAGAGTCCGTATTGATCTTCGGGCTCGAATTGGCGTCAAACTGGCTGCTGAACAAGTCCTCTTACGCTCACGTATTCTATGCGGATATGGCTTCTGGCTGTCGAGTGCTTTCAGCCAATCAGCGTTGGCCAGGCCTTCCGGAATATATCTAGACTTTCATTTCGTATGCAAGCACATGATGAAAAGATTCGTCGGTCAATCTGACCAGAAGACGTCGACTGATTCGCGTTGTACCACAGCCGTTTGGCCTCAATACGACATTCAGGTCGCTGCAGTCCACTAAACGTCCTCCAACGTTTCAGGCAAAGACGGGCCGAGTTTTCGTTCGTCATGTGATGACGAAGCTTGTTAAAACTAAGTCACGTGCCCTTGACTTCTTCTTGAGTTACAGCGGGTCCTTATTTATCTTCTGTCTGGCTTCTTCTGTCTGGCTCCTTCTGAAAGGTTATAAAAATGCGATTTCACCGACATCTTCTCTCGCCTCTTGGTTCGGTCGAAGCTTCCATCCCAGCCTTCGTCGCCAACATCCGAGACGAACGTGTGGAGAACCGGGACTCCACTCAAGCATGCAGGCACCAGCCGTTTTCTCTCCCTTTCTCAAGGCTTGTCTTTAGCATCTCGGTCCGTGGTTGACCGCAACCTCATTCTCATCTCGTCAGTGCAATGGCGGATGCCTTAGAAGCCATAAAAACACGGTGGATAACTGTTTTGGTGCTTTAACCAGGCGTCTCTGCAAACATACAGGACGAGGCAAGTGTCTTCTTCATAGCATAAAAGAGACAGCATCTATCGGTGAGCATGTTAAACTGCACGTCATGGAATGACGTCAATTGAATGGTGAGTTGTCTAGACACAAAAGTCGCTTATTGGTCGGCAATGCGGATCAGTTTGCCCCGAGATTATGTTAGGCAAAAACGACTTAACTGTTTTTTTCTTTTCTTGTCTTGGTTCTAACCACGGTCACTTTTCTGTACTTTTAGGCTCACTATTCTCTCACATGAGAACAGAAAGTTCATCAACTTAACCAGAACTGTGTTCGACTTCTCAATCGGAGTGATGGTTTAATATATGTAGATAGTGGATGACGATGGTGATCATACCTTGATGGCCGAGAACAGACGTTTCTTTTTCTAATTGTTAAGCTTACTTCCATTTGGTGAAGAGATTCGAAGCTCGATTCTACCAGAAGGCTCGGCGGATTCCTCTTGACCAGGTGTCGTTTGGCTTTATTGGAGCATTCTTGTTGACGCTGTTTCCAAGGCAATCGTCTTCGATTCCGGTGAAAATGGTGACGAGCATCATCCTTGCAATCATATTCAAGGGATTTTCGAAACCCAACTTTTCTACGGGGCTGCTTTTTCTGCTCTAATTACTTTCAGCTATCTTTGCAGTTTTCGTACATATTTAGGCACATAAACACACACACGGTCAGAAACACGCACATTCTTCGAGGTTGACATATGACTTCAATTAACCAAATCACTTTATACATAATCAAATAGCTTAGATTTAGGCTATATATATATATATACATATATATACAGCGTTTAGGGATGAGCTGGTAAGCTTTCTTTACTTGTTTACTTAATTACTGTTGAAAGAATGACACGTAGTACTACGAGCGAAAGCTTAGTGTTTTCACCGGAATCGAAGGAAATTGCCTCGGAAACAGCGTCAGCAAGGATGTTCCAGCAAAGCCGATTGACATTTGGTCAAGGGAAATCCACCCTCGTCTTGTCGTGCGATCGGCCTTGGAATCTTTTCACCAAACACTCATTCGAAATGGAAGTAAGCCTAACAATTATGAGACTAGTTTGATACGATTTTGCCCCATTTTTGGATTCTCTCGGTATGGCGATCGACTGTATTTCGAGACTATTCCATTTTCAGGGTTCGGATTCATGATCTACGTTCGGAAACCAAGGCTACCTTGCTTTAGCAGCTTACGCGGAATTTTTCACGAAGTCGAAACTTTAGTCTACCCTAGCTGGTATGGTAGCACCTTTTGAAAAAACTAGATGAAATTCAATGGAAACAGCTCTATCCATATCATTATGGAAAAATTCAATTATAACTCCTTCAGCATCTACATCCCATACAAAGAATATACATTTTTACAATCCATACTTGATATTTGTAGTAAGTAGGATTCGAAAATGCTAGGCGATCTTGAAAAATTGTCTTAGTGATTTCATTACATCATTTTCACTCTATTAGTTCTGAAAGTAAACTGAGTCATTATTACTGGAGGTCAGACATCAATTATTAGTCGGATTAAAAATATGTCTAATTTGACCCATTATCAGCTAAAAAGCTGACTCAGAAATGCGGGTCATAGCCTGTGTCTAAAATCACTTTAATTCCAAAGTATGGTTGGATGATACCAGACAATTAGACATTAAAATGAATGGGAAAGAGTAATTAATTATTTTTTCAGAGGTTGACCTTTTTTTCGCAAATTGGTCATATTTGTGGGAAGACTTAGAGTAATGCACCTGGTCCGGAGTCCATTGTATGCATGATCATTTCCAAACTCGGAGCGTGGACGTGGTACATTCCCAGACGCTTCGCCGGCATCGTCAGTGAGTCTCGCTATTCTTAGCAAAGAGACAAGTGAAGCCGACACTTTGACCAAACGTGTGCCAAGTTGTTGTGATATCTACCCGTCTGCCCTGGGCTATTCACATTTCCTATATCCTCCTATCACGCCTTCACTGTTACAATCTTTTAAACTGTGTTTATTTTGATGAAGTGTGGTGTGCTCCTTTAAGCGGCCATCATGAAAACCCTACACACTCCACGCTGTCGTTCTCACCCCCTTTACCCTTATGTTGAGAATGTTGATCAGAGCCTGCCATATTGTTACGCATTCTTCCTTCCTTTGGTCTTATCAGAGTCTCCCTACTGCCTCGTAGGATCCGTTTGCTATCTCCCTGGTTCACGTATTTTAATCATAATTGAGTAGGGTTTCGAGACTACCAGTAAATCCGTGTAATGAGATGTATTCACCCTATTTCGTGTAAGGTGAT